TGTTGCTAGGATTATCACCAAACCTGCTTAATAAAATACTGTAAACTGTAGATGAAACAATCTAACAAACTGCATAATTCATGTAGAGATGGAAACATGTACTGTAACATCCTTAAGGTACAGTGAAACGTGAAGGGCTGATTGTTTTCTAGGTAGTGTTAAATACATTTGAAATAATGTTCCATTGTTTGAAATAATACACAGTCTTCTCCAAAATATGTACTTTAGCTTCAAGTCATTGGTAAGAAACTGAATCCTGTAAGAAATATCTGAACTTCACTGCAACTGAAGTTAATCATAGAACCTGTTTATAAAATGGAACTCCCTGTTCTGACAGTTTATTAAACTTGTCAGTACAGGGCTGTCAGTGTCCTCTTACTGTCGTTATCGGAGCCACACTTCACCCGCTGCTGGATTTAAGGAAATCCAGGTCAGGATTAAATCCGCCTTGGCAGATAAACCTTGTTACCATCATAGTAATCACATAGAGTCATAGAACATTCCTGCATTCCCTCCCTGGGTAAAAATGTTAGTTTTTCTGTTCCCTCAAGACCAGTTTACCAGGTAGCACAGGTAGTGTTTTGTATTTATATTTCCAGTAAATAGAAACCAGTTTAATCATATCCCTGCAATTTTATAAAACAGCTTTACAGTGTGTGAAATGTACTTTAAGTGACTCTGTTTATAAAGACAACAGGTGTACCATATCTCTTAAATTTAAAACTGACTACATTTTGTTCTTTTGCTTCTCAGTTCAGGTATTATGCGTATGAATGCAAAGTGAATGGCCATAGTCAAGTGGATAAACTGATTACAAATCACAATATGGCATAAAGTGTTAGAGTTAAACTCACAGACAGACGTCTTATTTAGGTCATTGGATGGTTTTATCATAAAAAGTATATTTAACATGGGGATTATAATCTACACAAGTAGTGTAAGCATTACAGAAGACGTATAGAAAATGTAAAAATATATTGAGGAATTGGCATTAGGTAATCATGGAATTGTTTCCTGTTATTGAGAGAATTTTTAATGCTCATGATAATAAGCTGTACAAACTGAACCATCGGGAAATTTATGCATTTCCCCCTATTATAAAATAACATGTATGCAAATGAACACATTTGTTTTCAACCGACTGAAATAGTTTAAATGTGTCATCTCCAAATCTCACACATTTGTCTGCATCTTTCATCTTTAAAGCCTGAATTTCAGTTTTTGGACCTGCTCAGTTTTTACATCAGGCACTTGTGTGCATGCTCTTATGATGTTAAAACTGCAAAACTATTCTTAAGTCTACTGGCAACTGTTTTTTTTTTTTGTCTCCAAACGAGGTGCTTACGAATAAAACTAAGAGTCTTATTCTGAATCTGTTTCCAAACAGTCAACATCCCGGCAGGTAATTACTGCCCCATTAATCTTTCTGATCTGTGAGCTTTTGAGGTAAAGAAGAGCTGATCAATTACAGTGATTGTTTCTCCAAATTAGCTTTTCACACCTGCTTCTTGTTTCATTAGTTAACCGTCTGCTTTGAGATCCAATGTGATAGTAAACTAGGGGATTTTTATAATCCCACTCTCAGATGAGCAAGGCTAAGTTTGTTAATAAATGGAGGCATTAAAGGATATTCAACTACAGTCTACCCTGAAAACCTCAGCTCTTAGGTGTTACAATTCTCTCTAATTATTGGTAGTTAAGAGCCTCATTAAAAACCTGTAAAATCTGTGCAACATATTTGCACATTGTCTTAAGTGTTTTATGTCAGCTGTGTGCACTGTCTGTTTCCGGGCTGCTCTTTTGTTGGTTTAAATGTGGTTTTGAATTAGTGTTTTTGTGAACTATTCTAGGATTTATGTCGAGCCTGCACAAGAAAACAGTAAAGGAATACTAAACTGTTCAGGTCAAATTTTATGCTCCATGCCGTTTGAAATTCAGCACTTTGGTTTCATATAAGTTAGTCATATAAAGATAATGTAGTGTCTTGATTCCATAAGTTGTTTTTTGTGGTGCAAGCTTGAGATAAATTCTAGCCCAGTGCATGTATTTAAAGTTTTTCTCAACAGGACTTTTTCTGCAATATTTTTCACCACCCTTAGCAATTGACAGGTTTGGACATAACTGTTCACCCAGCATTTGTATTTGGTAAAATTATGTGTCATAATAGTTTAAACGTCCTTGCAGTGGCTTGCAAACGTATTCAGACCCTTCCTATGCTGTCCAATTTTGGGAAATTATCATTTTGATCTTAATATTTTACTTGAAACCTGAATGTGTAAACTGAAGACTTATAAGGGTAGGATGAGTTGCAGTACAGTAAGTGTCAGCTACAACAGAAGGAGAAAAAACTGAAATATGTTGATAACATTAAGCATTCAGACCTGTGAATTATTTGGAGAAGCACCTTTGGTAATTACAGCTGCAAGTCTTTTTGGGTAAGTACCAAATTTGCAAACTGGTCTGGTGTAAGGTTTGGCTATTCATTTTGGCAGATATGCTCTAACACTCTCAAATTGCTTGGCAATTGAATATGCCCTGTAGTTTTCAATTATTTCCACAGATTCTCAACAGGACTAAAGTCAGGACTTTGATTCGGTCACTGAAGGACACTCTATTGTAGTCTTAGGTCACTCTATTTTAGTTTTGGCCTGAGCTTTGGATGATTGTTAGAATGAAAGGTGAATTATTGTCCCGGTGTTGGGTCTTAAGCACTAGGACTTGCAAGTACTTTGCTTCTTCTGTGTTTCCATCATTCTTTACAAGTTGCCCAATCCATGCTGATGAGAAGCAGAAATATCACATGAAGCTGCCACCACTATGCTTCAGAGTAGGCATGTTGTTGACTGAAAGATGCACTGTGTGGGGCTTAAATAAAGACCAAAAAGTTCCCACTTTTGCCACATGATTCTGATATCACGTGGGAGCTCTGTTACACTCCCATGCAAGGTTTGAGATGTCATTCACAGTACCATACAAGCCCCCTTTGTGCAGTGACTCTGATATTGTTGACCCATGGCCATTTTATCCCATCTCTAAACTCTGTAACTCATTCACAATTGCCGTTGGCCTCACAGTGACATCCCTGACTAGTTTTACTAAGTGATGAGGCAAGAGATTGAAGCGATTGCATCATCTCGACAGTGTTTGAATGCCTCCTACTTCTTGATGATCTACTTCACCATGCTTAAAGAGTGTCTTTGTTTCAAGTAATAATCTTTACTTGAAACCCGCTACCTGACTGAGGGACCTTACAGAGACCATTGTACTTATTCTGAAATAATATGAACCACTATTATTGCACACATAAGCCACTCATACAATTGTGTAGCGTGTTATCTCGTACATGTACACCTTCATTAATTTAGGTGTTTCACAGCAAAGGGATTTAAAAATTATACTATATAAAATTATATAAAATGTTATCCTACTATTGCTCCACTTCAAGCTCCCTCGTGACCCTGTATTGGATAATTTGGTTAGAAAATGGGTGGATGGATGAGTTATCTATATAGGATTTCTTTAGGTTTGTTTAATTTAAATGTGTGAAGTAACAGATATTATTTGGTATCTCAAAGTGTCATGACAACAAATTTTAAAGCCACAAAATGTGCAAAGCTGAATGTTTTTGCGAGGTACTGTATGCTGGGAGGTATTAAAATCCCCAAAATGTAACTTTGCACTACTCACTACTGTTGCATTTATAAGGCTTTTCAGTATATTTGACTATGAGATCTATTATAAATCTATTGAGTATCAATTCGTCCTTACAGGTGGTAGGTAAAATATCTTGTGAATTAACTAATTTTGATTAATTACAGGCTATGAATTGTTATTCCTGCAATTCCATAAGTTGCAGAAGTTACAGGTATAGCTCTAGGGTTACTTGGTTACCTATAGTTTGAAACAGTGGGTGCTAATTATTTTACTCCAAGTTTAAGTCAATAAGTGAGGGCAGCAAGTGAGACTCTAAATAGTGCATGCCTGTTGTCAGCTGTAAACCTTAATATGCAAACAGTAAACCAGGTTTATGACATTTGATCATTGAAGTGCTGTTATTTAATCTGAGCTTGAAGCATTGTTGAAAATGAGCAGTGATGTCCTCTGGTATTTTCTTCTGTATTTGGCCCTCTTGCATAGGTCTACACTTAAATATAAACTTTCATTTTCAAATGGAACACAATAAAGATACTGTAGTCTTTACTTAAGGTACGTTAGTACTGCGTTTCCAGAAAAGGTTTGAGACATTTATGTACTTAAAGTATTTTACTTTAAGCATTTAATAAGAAATTAAACCTAGTATGGTGGTATGTAAATGTCATGTGAGTAATTGTAGAATATGATTTTTTTTTGCACTTAATTATTCTTTAAATGGCAAATTGACAGTTCATGATACCAAAATAAGGGTCTATACAGACTGTAGAATCCTTAAAAAGTGAGAAAAAGTGAGGCAAATTGAAAGTTCATGATTGAAATGCATTAAGTGGTAATTAGACTATATTGTAAGATATTACAGAGGTCCCATTTGATTTTGTCTCAGAGTAAACCTCATCTTCTGACAACAGTTTGCAATCAGTATAGCAAGAGAAATTATTGGGTAGTTTTTAAATACTATATTGTATATTTAGGATTGATTAAGGGAGTAAATATCACCCAAAGAGGCTGCAAAATCCAAAAGGCAAGAAAGGTATAGTGGAGAGTAATGTATAATTATGTACTGTAACACTGCAGAAATTCTAAAGGGCTTTTAAACGTTACAAAACAACTAATGTTTACATGAACTATACTAACAGTTGTGTTGTACACTTTGTATAATGAACATATTATAGATTGTAGTTTAGTTTCTTGGCTTAACAAGTTTGATTCTGACATTTCAATGACTTGTTTATTACACGGACAGTGTATTGGAATGAGAAGGGTATGGTTGTACAGGAGTGCATCGTAAAGTATACAAATGCGATGTTGTAATGTAGTGTGTTTTTGTGTTGTTTTTTTTTCCCTAGGTCTCGTGTGCATGAAGTCCAGCACGTCAGTGGTAGAGCTGGTCATGCTGCTGTGCTCACAGGTAAGGTCTTCATGTTACCATTGGCCATTACAGCCTGGACAGTGAAAGACTAGTCATGCTTTTATCTGAGTCTTCTGCCTCTGCAGTCCTTCTAATCTGCCCTTTGTGTGTGTGATGTTTTTAAGTTTTAAGTTGTTGTTCTGGGATTTTGCTTAAATCTGCTTCTTGGTCATTCATGGTTGTTTTAAAAATGACTTCACTTCTCATGCACGGAAGACCTAAATGGATGTTTAGTCTTAGATTACAGTTGCACTCAAAAAGCCTTTGCTGTACGTGCTGAATCTCTACTGTGGTACTGTATATCTACCACATGACACCCAGCCGCATGACACTCTGACAGCATTGCAGTACCTGTTGTACCTTGACTGATCAATGCAGCATGGGTCAAGCTTCAGATATTGCTCTGTGAGTCAAGTCTATGTAATAGTTCTACATAAGCTTACATTTCATAATGAATGCAGTGTATTATTCAATTATTAACTTAAAAATATTCATTTTATAGATTATTTCCACGGCTTTAGAGAATAATAAAAAAAAATCAAGTAACTTTTTTCCAGATGTATCACTGGAAACAAAAAGTATTTCTGAAGAATTATTAGCTTAATTGCAAAATAACATTGGGAGAAGTTTATAGGAATGTTACCTTCAAACACCAACAAGGACACTGACCATATCAGTTGCTGGCTACTTTCCTGCTATTCTAATATTTAAAATAGCCACTTCCTTTCCTTATTCCTCATTAAAACCATAACATCCTTACAAGTAGGTACATTAATAGATTTGTCTTTGATGAAGTTTGGGAATTGAAGCCTCTAAACTAAAAAAAAAAACAGATCCCGTTGTGATAATAAAGCATGTATTTTTAACCGGAGAAGCCACAGTCCTAGTCCTGTACTTTTTTTAATGAAATGTCCTGTACCATCCCAGTTAGTCCTAACACGGAATGTACCATTTGAGTGTCATTGACAGATTACTGAGGAACTGACCTTCTAAATCTCACCTAAACCCCTAGTTTAAAAGGGTCAGTGTCACAATGTTTCCATTATTATAAGAGAAATTTAACATACCTGCTGGCAGCCCATAACTCTTCTGTTCGGTTCCCATAAGGAAAGGATTAAGGTGGTGCTCTTGCTTTGGTTCCAGCTGATAAGTGTATTGAGAGGAAAGGGGGAAGAAATGGAAGAAGGAATGCAACTTCCGTGATTAGCCTGCTGAGTCAATTCTTCAAACCCACCCTGGCAGGGAGCTTGCAAATATATGTATTTGTTATTGTAAGCACAAGTTAAGGAAAATTCCTTGAGATCCACACAAGGCCTTCCAGTGGCATATCATGCTGTTCTGCTCTTTCCTTTGAAGTCCCAGAACTTTTTTTTTCTCCACGCAAAGGAATATTTCTCAGCTGCAACCTTCTCAGGCACCTGAATTTATTGCCGAGCTAGAAAGCAAATGCTGCATTAGGGGTCCACTCCTCTTTTGATGGTCTCATCTCCTAATCACCAAGATAGCATTACTCTGGCTCCAGGAGTTCCTGCCATTAAAGACTCTGGGGATGAAACTTTGCCTGAAATATTGATCAGTGGGAATGGAATGTAACCCGAGCTCCCTTTCCTGCACCCTTCCAGAACTGTTAGAGCAGACTCTAAATGGAGCCGACTTTTAAAATAAACAGTTTTACAGAGAGGCCTAACGCCAATTTTAAACAGGCCGAGAGCTGCTTTTCCTTCTGCATTTTGTGTTTTATGGGTATTTTAGAAATGAATATATCATTAAATTGCTCCAATATTTACCAAATTTGCCTTCAGCTATCTCAGTGTACAAGTTGTTTGGTGCTGCCCTTCGCATAAAAAAGTATTTATAGTTGGCACTTCAAACACAATGAGCAGAAAGACTTTCTGGGCCAATCTTGATACCTTTATTTCATCTTCAAAATAGCAAACAGACATAAGGAATCCAGAAACTGAGTAATCTTGAGAGACTGCTTGATTCCTGGATATTTGCTTTTGACCAGAAATATTTTGAAAGACTATACAGTGTATCATGCAACAAAGGTATTAGATGTTCCTTGTGTTTGTTTCCTAATTTAGAATCAATAATTCTGTAGAATGTAATTTGTTGTAGCATATAACATAAGTTAAAATAAGCTTATTTACAGGCCTTCACAATGCATTAGGAAATCACCTTAGCTTGCTTTCTTGACTGTTAAACAGAATTGAGGAAGCATTTTTTTCCCATTGATGTATAGATTAATGGCAGTGTTTGTGGTCTGAGATCACTGTTGTGGGCTGGAATCCTGTATAACTTTATAGACATTTTTATTAATGGTCTTTGGTCAAAATGAGTAAGAATGACTGTACATAAACAGAGAAAATATTTAATTTGTCTGGATTCTGATTGGATGCCTCAACAATTATTTTCATGTATTAGTAGTCTAAGGTTAAAGAGAAGATATTTTTTGATTTATGTTTTATCATCATGACTAAATAATGTAGAAAGTGGATAGTTAGTGTATACAGGCTTTTACAAAAAAGTTCCTTTTATCTGGTCTGTTTCATGTAACACCTTTAATAGACTAGCAGGATATACAGTGAAAACGTTAAGTACTACTGATGGAAATGACCCAGATGCAGAGTGTAGCCCTGCTGCGATAAAACATGTAGTTTGTATGAAACTGGATCCAGTGGATCATTAACAGTTATTATTGTGTCTTGATGGTAAGAATCTGACATAGTTGCTCACAGGATAGGGCTGTCATGAAGAATTTTTATGATAATCACTTTAGACACCTTTCATGCTTTAAACTGCACTTTAAACACATTGTTTTTAACAGGAGATATAAATTACACAAGCTTTGGCCTGTGTGCAATGAAGAAATGTAGTACACAAGGGTGAGCTTCAAAGTACTCTTCTAGGTAAAACTTGAGAACTGACTGGATCAAAGACTGTCCAGGTTATTTGGCACATCACAAGTTCAAATCCAGGCTGTACCTGGTTTTGAATGGGGGTTATTTCAGCTATAGAATAGTCAGCAACCTCTGCATCAGCAGACTTGATGTATTACTTCATGTAATTTATAAGCTTGTCTATCTTCTGTTTCACACTGAAGCTCAACTCTTTGCTCTCTGTATGAGAAAGCATGCAATTTGACAATAGACCTTGATCTCTCCTGTAAGGGAGGTGAATTAGCAGATTTAAAATGGGATTAATTATTTCTAGTTCTTGTTAATTGGAAAAGAGTATGGCAGGTGATAATGACTTTAAATATGGATGATGTTAACACTGCTTGTTTATAATGTCCTGCATACAGTACTATACAGTGATGTAGTAGAATGTGATGAAAAGAGATTGTAAAAATGGGTACCGGTAGTACATACACTATGAATATCTTTTTCATTTTAAGAATGAAAGGTGCATTAGGCTAAAATGTTTGTGCAGTAGGTTTTAAATGGTGGATGCATCAGCTTGTTAAAATGAAAGTGTAAGGTTTGTTTTTCCTTTCATTTCCCATATCCAAGTAGGAGCATTTGTGTTCTTTGTTCTGCAAATCCCATGTTAACAGTTACAGATTAGTGAGGATGTCAGATTTTCTTATCTGAGCTCCTGAATAAATGTCTCATTGCCAGAGGCGTAAGTCTAAGGTATGGTCCAAATTTACATGAAGTATCACATTACAAACGTCTGGAGGTACATGTCACAGCTAATTCAATTCATATGTCCAAACTCTTCGGCTTTGAAATGCTTGCAATCAAGCCCATTCCCCTGAGGAATTTTGGTTCTCAGGGAAATACATTTTTGGGCTATAAAACTACTCCTGTAGAGTGGTGTAATAGACTGTTTTTTTTTTGCTGATTGAGACTTAACCCTGAAGTTTGGACCTTTCACTTATTAGCAATTTAGCTAGGATTCTGGGAAAAGCTTTGGTCAACCCACTGGTATAATTAATAAATGTGTATGTACTTATTTTTGTCACATGAGAGCAATAAAAGCAGATCCCCCAAAGAATTATATAATCCTCCAAAATTTAAATGAAGAACAGGTTTTACAATGAATTCTGTAACAAAGAGAAGGGGTGACTGAACATTTGGCTCACAGATGGACCGATAGTACCAAGGTAGTGTCTCCTTTACAAGATTTTTCAACGGATTTATATTTGAAACAGCATGAACACTTCCATATTCGTGCACCATTTCACAAATAATTTCACAAATTTATGTGCATGTTATTTCTGTATTTAAATTTAGTTATATATTTTACAGAGCTAGAGTGTTCTTGAGTAACCTACCAGGTAAAATAAGGGTCTATACAGACTGTAGAATCCTTAAAAAGTGAGAAGTCTTTTTATTTGTGTGGTCATAGTCACAGGATACAAAGTTCCTCACCAGGGAGAAATAATTGAAGACATAAAAATTGGATAGGATAAATTGGATCCAATGAGTATTGGATAGGAAAATTAATGACTTATCATCTAATGATTGACTCTGGTTGTGTAAGACATACCGTCAGTAGATAAATAAGCATAGAGATGGGTGCAGTAATCAGAAATAATTATTAATAATTGTTTGCATTTGGTTAATGCACTGCAGCTGTTTTGCACCAGCAGCCCAATTATACACAGCAGATCAGGAAAAGGTAGTTCATCTGTTGAAGGGTGAAATTTAGGTAGGCCAGATTGTGCAAGCCTAAAGTGGAATTTAGTAAATTACATTGACATTAACTCCCCTAATCCATTAGGAGCTGTAGGTGTTCGTTAATGACCACGTGTTTGGGTCAATAAGCTAGTTTTTCTGAGATATCTGTCCCAGTACTAACTAGGTCAGCCCATCCTTGCTTAGTTGAAATCTGACATGACCAGGCTACAGGGTTGTGTTTTTCCTGTTCTATAGTCAATGTTGTTCAGATCTTTCAAAGATGTGTCAGTTCTGTCCAGCTTCATATCATATACATACTATTTATGGCTAGTCTGTACAGTATGTTTAGTGTTTAGAATTTAATACATGCCATAATTTGCTTTTCCATCTGATAAGCCAATGATTAAACATCTATGTTATGAATGTGAAGATCAGCTTCAATGTCTACTGCCACATGAACCTCAGCTGGACCGCCTACTTGTCTAAGGGGATAAGACCTCACATTTTTACTCCCAGACGTTTAGTTGATAAATAAGGTAGCATATAAGAGTATAAGGTATCCATTGCCACTTATGTTACTTAAAATGTTTATGGTAAATACCCCCTATACTCCTGACATAAACCCCAGGACGGATACATTTATGATCATCAACATTTGCAGTGTTGATTGTTATGCAGATAGACAGTTTAGGTCAAGTATAACCTGGCAATTGTGCTTACCCATCTGTGTAAATATGATATGGTCTGCGCAGTATATATACTGTATATGGATTCTGGTCAAATCTTTATTTCTTTTTGTAACAAATATGTACAGTTGAATGTAAAGCATTTTTGTCTATTTAATTTTTTTGTCTTAAAGTGAATATTGAATTCTTTAATAAGAATTACAGTTGGAGATATTTGCAGGCACGGCCCAGTGGCACAGAGGTTGGTATTACTGCCTCACAGCACTAGGGCTCTGGGTTCAATTCCAGACCTAGGATTCTGTCTGCATGCAGTTTGTATGTTCACTCCGAGTTTGCATGGGTTTTCTCCTGGTGCTATGGTTTCCTCCAACAGTACCAGTGAACCTACCAGTCTAACCGGTAGGTTTACTGACTTTGGGGAAAAAACCCTGGGGTTCCTCTGTGACCCTGTATTGGATGAATGCTTGCAGGTGAAAGTCTTTCGACTGTATGCTGTACTAAACTGTAAAAATAGTTTTAATATACAGTGTGTATATATACAGCATTTTAGATGAAAAGAAATATGTAAAATATGTAAAATGTCACTAATCAACCGAACTTGAAACATAGAAAAAAGTCCACACCATTTGACTGAATACTCACACAGTTCATGAAAATTCAGAACCCAATTAAACATGATTTCTTGGCACAACAAGCTGTTTTTTCTGCTCCTCATATATTGTTTCACAGCCTTTGTGTTGGTTGACATAAAGTAAAACTCATTAGTACATATTCACTTCCAGATTTTCTACTGATCAGCATTTTACGCGGCCACTGAGCATGCTAACAGTCTGGAAACGCTGGATTACAACAAACACATGACAGGTCTAATACACCTAGTTCCATTTGCAACATTGCGTTTTGAACAAATTTAATTCTGCTTCTGGTTTAGCAGTCTTATGAAAAGTTTATGTTCAGCAATTCAAAGTGATAACTCGTATTAAATCACAGAAGGCATATCTCTGGCTGCAGCTGGAAGCAAGCAGGAAGTTAATGCATTTGGCAAAGATTTTTTTCTTGCTTTAAGGATGCATTCCACGTCTAGGGGTTTTATATTCTGTTGATGTGTAAGAGAATTTGGCTGAATGTTAATACAGGGAACTATACCCATGTTGCTCTTGAGCTGGGGCTTTCTCTTTCATTTTAGCCCCATTCACCTTGGAGGGGAGACTGAGTTCCCACAGTAAAAGCTGTATTCCTAAAGTACCTTTTAATCACTTCCAGATCCACTGTTCAAAAAGAACTTATTCTGTGTCCTTGGGCTTTTAGTTTCTAGATGTTTGCGGCTGACTACTTCTGATGTGACTGTCGGTAATCTGTCACTGTATGGGATATAGGAAATGGCTGTATTTAAGGCAGAGGATACAGTTACATTCTGTAATTGCATTTCTCCAGTGTTTACTGACCTTTCAGAAAAGAAAAAGGGAAGAACAGGACACAGGGTGCCATGTTTGAAATGCTTCAGGAAAAAAAAAAGTATTTTGGACCTTGGCTCTGCCCTTCTTAATGTGAATAATTAACTATTAAATTGTCACTGGTCAAACGTATTTCCTTTGCAACTGAATGTGACAGTTTTAATTTCTGTAATTTCTGTGGTTCTGTAGATCGGATTACAGTAAAAAAGCTAGCTGTGTTTAAATTTATAAAAAAAAGATACTCTCTTAAATCAGTTTTTGTTTTGTCCATTTTGAGTAGGTAGAGAATGATTGGAATATAATTGCTACTTTATTGGCTTTTCCTGAAAATTAGCTATCTTTAGCTTACTTTATATTGCTTTTTCACTTATTTTCATTTAAGCATGATCTGCTTTTATTGTAATACATTCTATTAATATGTATATGTGCAGAAATGCAGAATAAAGCCAAGAGAAATGTACAGTGTCTTTGACTAAAACGCAGATGAAAAATAATCATACTCTCCTCTCTTTCAGGAATGGCAGAACTCAATTCAGAAGAATGCAGGACTGGCCTTTATTGAACTGATCAACGAAGGAAGGTAATTACTCCAGCTGTGTTCAGATAATCAATAGCATCCTGTTAAGGAAAGTTTTTAGCATTAATGTGTCACTGTTATTTCAAGTCTCACTCACTGAATGTGCCATCATCTTGGTTTCACTTGATCTTTTTCGCTATACTGGAGCTGGAAAAAAAAGCTTATCAAGGATGCAGACTGCATGCAAACAAAGGTGCCAGTGTAACAAAATGAAAAAACAAGTCATATAAGCTACTGATTTATGTGTTTCACAGTGACCAGTTTTGTTGTTCACCTAATATGAGTTACACCCAGTAGATACACCAGAATAGTGCATGACCTGTGCCTATGTAGAAACATATTTACAAAAATGTTGTGAGAATGAAGGTGTTCATTTTCTGAGTTGGGTGCTTACGCAGGAGTAGAATTAACACATATCGATTACCTTTTTTTAAATTTTAATAAACATTTTTGATTTGGATCATTGTTCTGAAGAAGCTCTGTAAATAAATGTTCTAAATGCTTTGGAAAACTAACTTAAAGAACAATAAGGTTTCACAAGGTTTATGTCAGATTTGGTGTCACCGCATTATAGCTCAGTGAGGATGTTTTATACTGGGGATATGGAGGGCTCAGTCTGTATACCCATCTGCTGCTCCATCTGTTATGATGTGCTGTGCCTGTTACATTTGCTACATTATCTCCAGCACAAAGGAACTGAATCAGCAAGGGCACTCGGTGCTGTCCAGGGTACTGCACTGAATATATCACAGGGCTAGAGAAACTCACTGATAATACAGATTGCATATTCATCACTCACACCATAACAGTACATACTGAGCCTGTATATTTCATATACAGTATATGCGGTCTTAATCTTGGTGAAATTGTGCGATATGAGCCTCACGATGACTTTATGTTTGGGCTACTGCCTGTGGTTCATGAGAGGATACAATTAGTCACAGTTTCCATTTTTGGTGCATTATCATGGCCCTGCCACATACTCTCAAAGAAGTACAACTCCGTAGTTTATTTCTTTCAAATTGTGATGACCTTCATGCTTTTCTTTTTTTGTATTTCTAAAATAAATCCTCTTTGAGTCATTTGAAACTGAACTGAACTCAAAATAATAACTATTGTCAACATTCAGTTGTCCTTCTTAATTTTGGAGAGGAGGGGGAGTGTAAAAATTAAAGAATACCTCAAGACAAAAAATGTGAGCCCCTGATACTGGATTCTTGGGAACACAGATCAAGGGAGACTGCTTCTGATGTTTTCAGTCATAAAGAAATTAAGAAAATAAATGAGGTGTACCGTGTTAAATGCATCTTAACTAGTGTTTACTTACATCTAACAGGATTAGGTTTTGTTTGTACAAATGAAATGTGCATGCAGCAATAAATATAACATTAAAAGATAATAATTTGCAGGTACGAGAACTGTATTTCTGTCCTGTAATACCGGTCATAAATGTCTTGTCTATCAGTCAAATACTTTATATATGTTATTGTAGCTGGATAAAATATTGCATATAATTTGTCCCACTTTCAACTGACAAGATGAAGGTGAACAAAACCCTTTTTTTCCAGGAATGTAATTCTGTGCTTGTCAACAATTAACGAGACATAAACAGTTGATGAATGTGCTTCTGGATTAAAGCCCTCTCAGGGATGGCTTGAAATTATAAACTGGATCATTTGCAGGGAGACAACAAAGCTCCACTGTAATTAAAACAAAGCAGGGTTAATGATGTATAAAATAGCATATAATCTCTACACAATAGCAGTTGTGATTTCAGTTATTAAAAATTGAAATTTAAATATCATTCAAGGGAAAAGGGGAATCTTTGGAATCAACCAAGTGAGAACTTTTAATTTTTACAAAGGAACGCAGTAGCAGTCAGCTGTGAGATATTAAGTATTCAGCACTGTGGTCAGTGGGGAAGGCTTGAGACCTTCGTCTTTTTGCCTTGCAGATGCATTTATTGCTATAACAATGCCCATTTGTTTCTTAATTGTTGGAACGGTGCTGTCATTAGTGCACATAAATTTGAAATAATGCAAACAAAGGATGTTTGTTATGTGTCAATTAAAGACACGAATAGATAAACTGCATGTTTTTCTCTTGGTAACACATCCTATTGTGTACACAGCCTTTGTGCAGAATTTCAAGAATGATTTTAACAACATATTTCCACTTTGTTACAGTATTTTATAATTAAAATGTGTATTGTTTTTGGATAGGCATTTCCAAAACTGAAAACTATATACAGTGTACTTGTTTTTAATATCACTTCATGTGTTGTCTTTAAGGACCTATTAAATTAGATTTTTACTCTTTGAAGTAATGTTTTATGTCATTTACAGTTAAAAAAAGAATAAAAAATAAGAACCTAGGATATTATGTAATTTAGATGTTTCAGTACAGAATACATACTATGTGGTTTGTATACAAGTACTATAATAAGCAGAGGTTAATTCCATACTGAAGGAGAAAGTGAAACACACAATGTTTTAGCTTTGGAACCTTCTTCAGGTTTGTATAATGAGCGTACAAAAACATCCATCCTTTCACTTGTCCTTGTGTTACAGCCTGTATAAATACCATTTGTTACATTTGCACACACATACTAACAGTATAATACAGTATATATATATATTATGATGGATATGAACATCCAACAAATGTTTGTCTTTTTCTGACTGTTCTAGATTGTTGAGTGTTCTCTCTTGTCAAGTTTCCAGGACACATACAGTATAGGGTAAAAACTTTCAGGATACTAATAGCTGACGATGCTTTCTTAATTAAATATTAACATATGTTGGAGTTTTGCAGCAGGCTGTGGGTGGCTGTCTATCTTAGAGTTTGCAGCATGTAGCCACTCTAGGAAAAATGCCTGTAGTTGCTAATGCTATTAGACTCAGACCAGGCAAACCTTTTTTATGAGTAATTAGTATACAATATATTTAATATTTGTAGCCTTTCTGAATTAGTATATATGAAAGAGCTTTTTTTAATTGTTTTTTGCTGGCACTTAATTTTATAGTAATGTATGGCTAATGTACTGTTTATATACAGATTTGGTTTTTCACTCCAATGGAAGGAGGGAGTGAGGTAAAGTGTTTGGTGTGTTGAAACATAACTTTAGTTCTAACTGTAAGATTCTAATTGTAAGATTCAGCACCAAGAATTGTAGATCACCTGTATGTTTACCAAACATGCTCTGTCTTTAAATGCTTATTGAATGTTATTTCAGACTCCTGTGTCACGCAATGAAAGACCACATAGTGCGTGTGGCGAATGAGGCTGAGTTCATACTCAACAGGCAGAGGGCTGAAGACGTGCACAAGCATGCTGAGTTTGAGGTAGGCTGGAACCGGTCAACTCTGCTGTAAAAAAAAAAAAAAACAATTCTGCTTTCAGTCACCAGTCATCCACCATGTAGAACCAGCCTCCTGATGCTGTTAGGGACCATATAGCCTTTACTGTGGGGATCTGACTTGGTAAGAGGGTAAGAGATATAGTAATTCTCTGACTCAAGAAGATGGCACAATGGACATCACCTTTGATTCAGTCCCTGAAACAAGGCATCAAGCTCAATAAAAGCAAAGAACCAGATTTTTTTATATTTTAGGTAATGGCAGTTTTTTATATACTTATTCCTGTGAGATGTTGTTTCTTAAGGCAAATGCTAAACTTATTTTCCATCATGTAGGACAACAAGGTTGGCCTTTTTAGATTCGTGCTTTAAAAAAAGAAACAAAAATCTAAGAATGAAGTGGAAAATTCAAAGTGTCAGTGCGTGTTACATCCTTTCCATTGCAAATCAGTTTAAGTCTGTTTCAAAAATGATTGTGGAGATTGGAATGCAGTCCTTCAAATCTACTAAGTGTTCTCATCTAAGGAAACAAGTAAATTAATTTCTGTTGAATTGCTTCAGGGAACATTGTATTGAAAATATCAGTGTTCATTAAATACACATCAATCCTGGCATTACTTTAGGGAATTAATTGTTTTCTTATTAGCATATAATAAATATATCGAGCATAAAGATTTTGTAACCGGAAATGTAATGAGGTGGCAGTAATGCAGTAAGTCAAATGCCATTTAAATCTTTCTGTCTCAGCAAATGTGGATAACTTTGAACCCCTGTTTGAATCTATTTCTTCTCAAAAACTGTGTTTCATTGACTATGATGCTATTTTAATCTCTAAAAATCAGATAATTTAGGTCTTGCAAGTAAAGCAATGACTCAAAACCATAAGTGTCCATTTGAAAGGCTCACTTTCCTGCTATTCCAAGACTTTGTCCAGAATGCATCATTACTAAATTAAAAAATAGCAGCAAAAGCCCTTAAACCTTAGCTCCTTAGTAGCTCCCTAGTTAGATTAGGGAGATATTGTACTGCCTTGAAACAGAAGCTCAAATTATATAGTTTGTTTATACCTTTAATCACATATGTTAGAGAGTACAAACACGAGATACAGTGAATTAAAATAGCTCTTTAATTAAACAATGAAACAGTTTGACACATACAGGGTAACCTTAATGTCTGTTTTGCAAAGGGAGTAGAAAGTTTGGGTCAAAGCCAGTACAGCCATGATATATTACCTCGAAGTCAGCCTGGGTTTTCTGCGCTACTGGCAAGTTTCTTGAATAGCACACAGGAGCTTAAACGCAAGAACTGATGAGGTTCTTATCTTGGGCAAGCAGCCTTCTTTAACTAGCAGCTTGATATACTATTTCTTGGGATCCTTGACCTCCCAGATAAACTAGGAGACGCCAAGATATGGCTTGTCACAAGGAAATATACATAACCCTCACTTCAGTTTGTCAGGGCAGACAGCAGGCACTTTTCATATGGGGATTGCTGCTGCTTTATTACAAAGCCTTTAGATTGAAGATTTGAAAGGCAGATAAGATATATTTACAATTAAGTTGGTGTCAGGGTGAGGCTTCATATAATTTAAGTGATAAATAACATTTGATATTTGTCAGTGCGTCACATGGTAACTTGAGATGACAACGGGAGATTGAGTTATCTGCCATTTGAAGAATATGTGGAGGTATAATATCTGACAGAATTCAAATATAAAACAGGAAATTCAATTAACTTTCAGCTTCTGTTAGCAAATTAGATTTTGAATATTAGCAAAATTCCCCAAAGGCAGCATGGTAAGACAATCTTATTTTAGTCAGAAAGATAAAGTAAAATGTGCCACGCAAGATTACTTTTAGTCTGGCATTAGCTTGTGCAGTCTTTTTCAGTTACACTTTGAAAAGTAACATTTGAAGATTTTTTGTAACCTTTACCGTTGTAAATAGTTGCCATCTAATTGTTTGGTTTAGAGCAATTTTTAAAATGCCAGTAAAAGTCAAATGTGAAAAAACTGTTAATACACTAATGGTAATATTTTTCTTTAGCTAAGACCCTTGGAAAAAATGTCTATAGATGTATATTTGTGGACTGTCTGGTGGTGTGGCTCTTAGTATTGCTGTTTCACACACCTTGGTAGCTGGGTTCAGTTCTGTGAAAAGCCTGCACAGAGGGTTTCCTCTGGCTTCATGCTGGCTAGGATGATTGGTGTCTGTAAATTGTCCTGTGAGCATGTTCCTTGCAGTGGACTAGAGTTCCATCCAAGGTGCAGTCACTGCTAGTGTCCTCTTTATCTGGAATAAGCTTCAGTTTTCTACAAGCCTTACCAGGAATATGCCGCTTCTGATAAAGAATGGAATGACATTTGTTATGGTTTTATTAAAAAGAAATTGATTTACCCAACATATGCATATTGGTAAATGGGGATATTTTGATAATAAATGAGCTTCATTAACATGATTGCATTTTAATGTGGTGGTTCTAAGGAGTCCATACTATAATTTAAAATGGGACCATTTTCTTGAAATATTCGAGTGCATTAAAGCTCTCTTGAATATTAATATGTCTTTTATTCTCCAGTGCTTCTTAATGCAAAAATAAAACATACAAATATACACTATGTATAGCATGCTTATTTTCTTAGTTGTTTACAATGTGTACAATGTCATTGTGAAATGAATTGTGAAACTTTTATATTCAGTACTGAATTGCACTGAGGGGTGTAATAAAAGAGTTCTAAAATTCAATGGATTTGAAGCACCATCATGTCTTTTCACTATTTAATAACAATTTGCACTATTTAATAGAAAACCAGGGCTTAATTGCCAGTCAAAACCTCCAATAAATAAAGACTGTACACATTTGTATATTGAATAGAAACTCTTGCTGTTTTGTGTTGAAAGAACATTGGCTTTCTTGTAGAGTGGCCATAAAAACTATTTACACATTGGAGTGTTTTGGAGTGCAGAGATCTGCCTACCTGGGCTATGCTTGTGATATTTTATAGACCAATCAAATCCATCATTAAATGTAGACTGTGCATTCAATGATCAGGGAATATCTGAAAGATTAAACAATTTACAAAGACTGATTTCCTCAGGGAGTGCAGTTAGACCAGTTTCCTCAATGTAGTGAGCAATGTGAAGCCAATCAAGCTTTTGAATCTGCACTTATTTATCAATGTTGCCCTTGTTCCCCAAAAAAGAACATACAGTATCCTTTAATCTTGGCATCATACACCAGGTTCTTGATGAGCTAACTCCCTCTGCTGTGCAAGGATTTCTTCAGAAATGCTTCAGATTGCCAAAACCTGCAAACATACTGTACTGTAGCTGAAGTACTTGACAGTGAAATGTTGCCCATCTATTCTAAGCAAACACTAGTACAGAATAACTTTGTATTTTGATTTTCATGTGAAGGGATTTACTTTTGCCAATACTGTATGCTTATTGTTGGCATTTGAAAACATTCTGATGTTAAGGGAGGAACTCTTTAGACTCAATGTCAACGAACAAGACATAGTAGTGAGATTTTAAAAAAATATGCTTATAAATATGTAGATGGTAATAAAAAAGAAGTTTAGGTTCTATCAAATTAAGTACCTTGCGGTAATCCCATTTTTAAACTGTATACATTAACATTATAACAAAAAAGTAATCATATAGAAACTCCAATATTAAAGTTTTATGACAAATTGTTGCTTGTTTTCAGTACAAAGTTTTGTATTTTGTGGGTTTAGGTTTTGGTGTAATGGGTGCTCGATATGAACCTGATTAGTGGTGTTCGGGTGATGGACCTGGTGTCTCAGTGGGTGTTTCTCTCATTGGCAGTCAAACTGTGCTCAGTATGCTGCTGACAGGAAGGAAGAGGAGAAGATGTGTGATCATCTCATTAGTGCTGCCAAACACAGGGACCATGTGACCGCCAACCAGCTGAAACAGAAGATCCTCAATATTCTGACCAACAAGCACGGAGCCTGGGGGACGCTATCCCAGAGGTAAGGGATGAGGAGTGATATTGGATTCCCTTTTGGAAATTTAACCTTCCCTCATGCGTTGTGGTTCTGGACATGAGGGCGGTTGTCATTAGATGTAATTTTCCTGGTATCCAGTCAGGTCATGCTCCAGGTCAGCAAACTCAATTACTGTACAAAATGGCTTAAGCCCCAGGAGACTGCTGATTGGCTGCTTTGATGGTCATTATTGGGGTGTCTTAGAGCTATTGGGTTATTTCTCTATACTGGTATCCAGACTCACTACCATACTCTCACACATGGGAATGTCAAGGTAATGTTATAGCATCTGAAGGACATAATTTATTGAACACTGCTTTTGTTTTAAACTAACATTTCTCTTACAAATGTTGTGTATTTCTAAACGAGTACAGTGCCTTTTTAAGGTTAAAAACGACATTTCTGAATTAAAACTGCCATTTCCCAATTTTCCATTAAAAAGAGATTTAGGTTTATTTTTCTCAAAGGCTTTGAAAATCCACCTGTATTATCCTCACAACGGGGAAAAAAGACTGGTGATCTAAAAAGTTCAAAATCTATTACATGATTATCTCCAAAATAAATAATTTTAAAATGCAGAAATTTTAAATTGTATATCTTGGATCATATTGCACATTTGCAGAATTTAGATATTTCTCTTTAGTTTTAGAATCAATAAGGAGGCCTTGATTTCTTCTTCTTCATGGCATATTTTTTTTTTCAAAAATTGAATGTTTTGTTCTTTGTAACATATTCATTGAGCAGTTAGAATTGCCAATTAAACAGTGAGAAACTCCTGAAGCCAGTTACATGCGATATTTGAAATTGTTCTGTTAGAGAAAACACATTCTTTCAAGGATTTTACAAACACATTTTGTAATCTCTACAGATACTGACTAATATAGAGAACCTACTGTATTGCTTTTTAAAAATGCCAATAAAAATACCAATGGTTTATTTTTGTTTTACTTAAGATTTAACCCCTACATAAAAAAAGTAAAACAAATATTACATATACTCTAAGTGTTCAGTAGGTATTATCTGTCATACTTTATTGGTGTTAAAGTGAGACAATCTCCTAAACAGCTTTAGATAGATAATACTTTATTAATCCCGTAGGGAAATTGATGAATGTTTAAGGTTGTCTCAGTAAATGTCCAAATGTTGTTTCTTGAGCATGTTTAAACTAAGTGGCTGATATGTTTTAAAATATGAGAATAGAGCATAACACTGTGTATTTTGTGAAGTATATTTTCTTTTTGTGTATAATGAATTTCTAGATTAATTTAGGAATTTTTAAAATGATTTCTCCCACTGTACTGTACATGGGTTATTTGCATATATCAGTATTTTGAAACTTAGAATTACTGAGAGATCAAAAGGCGTTTGCAGTGTTTTCTTATGTGTAAGGCCTGAAAAGGATGTAAAGTGAAACTGTTTTGCACTTTGTTATATGTTCCATGCATTCAAATATACCATTGTACCATGATGCACACAGTCTTGTATTAAAAAGGGAAAGTGAGTTGCATCAGTCATTTTGAAAAATATGCTGATAGTACTATATATGCAGCCTGTTCATCGTCTGCCTGAAGCACTCCTTTGAAGTTGACTGTTAGCCATCCATTGTTATCTGGTTTTTATCAGTGTTAAAGCTGGGCCACACAGAAGACCAGGTTCATGGTGTCAAAGTCTTGTTTTTTTAAAAAAAAGGCCTTTAAACACAGAGGTAGTAAAATAATACTTGTAGGCACATATAATAGTTTAGAGAATCAAACAACAATAATGTGTGCGTGTGTTGGATCATGGTTTCTGTAGTTACTATTTTTATTTTTCTGTCAGATTACAAAAGATCTGGAAAATCTGATTAACATAGTGAGTAAAAGTAGCATCTAGTTTGTAGGCTTCTATGGCTGCTCTTTACATTTTAACTTTAGTGAAAGGTAATCAAAGTTGCTTCAATGTAGAATATGTCCGATCACCCAAGTCTGTTTTAAATATACTGTTTTTGTAGGAGTAATGCCAGAAGGTTTAAGAAAATCTTTGTTTCAAAGATTGAGAAAATACTCATGGCAATTTAGAAAATTGTTGGTAAAAAAGAGCAGCCAGGGAATTGAAATCAACTTCTCTTTTAAATGTGATCCAATATCTACTTTGGTTTTCTCAGAAAATAAATCGGGGTCATCACACATAGGAAGAAGTTCATATGTGAATCCCCATGGAAATTTAAATCACAGCAGACTTGCTGATAGACAGGGAAGTCCATTCGAAATGCAGATCATTCATAAATCTTCTCCATAAGCAGATTTCAGACAAAACATCTGCCAGGATTGACTGTGTGCCTAACCATTAGGGATCCTTTAGTGCTTTATGAAAATTGTGGTTACCATTTTGTAAATGATTTTTCTAGCCAGCCTTGGTCACCTTGCTGGACTGTGAATCCCCAAAGCCCCAGTGTGCCACATTTTGAAGACATCAGTCACCAAGAGGCTGAGAGGAAAAAAGAGATCTATTTATATTTATGGCATCTTAAGTAACAGAGCACAACCTTTCCATGGGTATACAGAAAAAGCTTGTTTTTCTGTCATCTCTACTGGCTTAATCCGATGACCTTGACATTGCTGCTGTCCTGTAATGTTCCCTCTGGGTCCTTAAATAATGTAGATGAGCTGCCGAGTCCCCAGATTGTTTGAGTTGCAGAAATGCTGGCTGCTGGACCATCAATGAACAATCCTTGTCCCAAATCCCAGAGAGCTGCTGAACTCTAAGGCCACTATTATGTCATGGAATAATTAGATGTAATTGGGAATGAAGAGGGTTTGTTCCATGAAGTGCAGCATGTTGGATTAACAAGGGTGAATGCTTACGATATTTTCTTTTTGATGCTTGTATCTTTCCTTAGACGCAGTACTTTTCAAACATGTTGGGATAGCAAAGTCAAAACTGATATTTGTGCTTTAAAATTCATGTCATTGTTATGTGCACCTACAGTATAAGATTATTTTGAATTACAAGTACAAATTAATATGGTTTATTTTGGGTAATTCCATGCATACTTTTGGGCATATTAGAACATGAACAAACTTTGTGTTCAATTCAATGATTTTCAGTGACCATAAATATTGGAACACATTTCCTATAAGTAAATATCAACATGTAAAAGTAAGTATTTGGTTGCATATCCCTGCACTGGATGAAGTCTGCGATGCATTGAGCTCATCACTCTCTTTGTATAATTATTTGATATACTATGCCAAGCATCCAAACTCATGCTGAAGCCACTTTGAGATGTCTGTTATTGATGTGGTCTGATTTTTGTTTCTTTGACATGTGAAGTGCTTTCTAAATTGGATTTAAATCTGTAGATTGATATAGCCGGTCTTCCCCTTTCTTTCTTTTAACTCTGGGGTTGCATTGACTGGATGTTTTGTGTCATTGTCCTGCTGCATAACAAAGTGCTACCCAATAAGTATGGGAGTTATTCATCTACATAAGCAAGCCAAATATTTCTGTAAACATCAAATTCATTTTGTGGCAATCATCATTTGTTACATCACCACAGACAGGTGAGTCAGTACCAGAGACAGCAGTGCATGCTCAGGCTATGTCAGTACCTACACCATGCTTCATAATTTGCTCAGAAGTGCAGACATAAGCCAGGAGAGAGTCTTGGAACTTTTTATGGACAAATTAGACCAAGACAGACCTTTACCAAAATAATGGAAAAGTTACCATCTCATCTGTGAACATGATGGTGATCATGTCATGCATAGCCACCTCTGGAACTTGGTCACTCATTAATCATTGGGGGTTCAAGTCTTTGAGCTCAAGGGGACTAGATTATATTCAATTTCCCATTCATAAGTGTAATGTATATTAATAGATTCCAGTGGAGACAGAATGCAGTTTGTACTGCCAAAATTGAGTTTTATTCAGGAGGTAATGGTTCAATTTTTATTAGAATTTTTCTTTCCTCCTTGAAGTGTAGGTCTGAAACCTGTAGATGAAGCAGGTTGGACTTATTTGCATTGTGGTTGTCCTATAAGAACAATTGGTGAACCTTTACTAGTTTCACAGTCTACACCATATGGCTTCCATATGCAGATTTTTTTTTTCCATATATTTAAGAAAATAGATTTAGAAAGCAAGGTAGTTTACATTTTTACAAGAGTTTGCCCTGGCTTTGAGGCTAGCTACAAGTATTCTTGCTCTGACACTTGGTAATTAAAGGTCCCGTGGTACTGTTTGTAAGCATGGTGTCAATGATAAATTCAGCTTTCGGTTGGTCAGTCTAATCATTCTTAAAATCCATCTTAGTTCAGCTGGGGAAGTGATTCTCACTTTACCTGATCTCCTGTGTAATAGGTGCCACATTACAGTGGCAGATGAAGTAGATCCTCTCCTATATGAAAGTATAGTGAGATGAAAATCTCTATGTACAACATATGGAAGCAATTACCAATAGCAGTATTATTCAGAATTTCTCTATTAAATGTCATAAAAAGTGACACATTATACTGTAATTGACATTAACAGAGACACAAATAGAATTCCTCCATTGATATTGTCTGGTGCAGCTTCAGCTTTTATCTTATCACGTGTAGAAAACAAAGCAAAATCAGATTTTTTCCTTTAAGATTATTTTAAGAGTTTAAGAGTTTTTCAAAAGGTTTGAAATGCAGTGCATTCACTTCCATTGCTGTATTACTAATCGGTTTTTATTGCCTGCTGAGCAGGTACACAAGAGTAAAAAATGTATTTATTTTTAAAAAAACAAAAGTATAAATGTTGTTTGACCAAATACAATATATTGGATTGAATTCCTGCCACCAAATTTACTTATTCAAATATTTATAGAAAACATCTGAACAGCATTAAATTTGCATCGAAACAAAAGGTTATTGAGCCACGATGCATTGTAAATTATACAGCAAAATTTCCAACTTCAAATTTTAATGGTAACCTGCTGGAAAAGAAAAATGATGCAATATGTTCATGAGCTCAAGGCA